TATAGAAAATCCAATGGGAAAAGAATTGGGGCCGAAAAAACTTTTTGTAGTAACTTGGGAATTCCTAGCCCAGATTTGAATGAAATCAGAGTCAGTGAGGTCTAGGAAGATCTGGTAATAAAAGAGAGATCTAATTATGAATTTTATCACATGAATATATAGCTAAGTCATTAAGGAACTCGTACGATTTTACGGGATCGAATTCTGGTGAGTAGAATTCCCGAAACTGATCTTAGCGTGAACAGGTATTTTCTGAGGGTCATAGGATGAAGGCGTGTTGTGAAATGGGGATTTGGAACTCTTAATTTATCTCTCTATCTCTGTGCAAGCCTCCAGGGCGGGGCCGTTGTAGCGGGATGAGGTCCGCCACAGCGGGACAGACGCGACTTAAGTCGAAAATAAACCCCAAAAATGTTATTATTCTGTAAGTTTCGTTCTTGAGAGCTAAGGGACGACCTAGGGAAAGTTCTTGACAGTTTTCCACCTCTTCTAGCACTAAAGGTAAGGATTTAACTCCCCTAATCCGTATTTCGATCCGTAGAACGTAATTTTTTTGGGTAATTATCATTGGGGAAAGGTTTTGATCTGAAGTTAATGGTGGAAAAAGCCCTAATTTGGGTGTTGGGATCTTGGGTTGGCCTAGGGTTGATAATGTTGATTATAATCCAGGTAATTAGGCCTCGTTTATTGATCCTTGCGTTAATTGTATGTTTTTAGACCACGAACAAGCGGGAAGAATCCGAAAAGGGAAGGCTCAAGTGTCTTAGGAGGATTCAAGCTTGGTTTCGAGGTAGGTGATGGTTGTGATTTCATGTTTTGTGTGATGTATGTTAGTAATTGCTTCATTGTAATGCATGTATGTGTATGAATGAAGCCTATTGATCACACCTAATGTTAATCGTAAATGAGGATGATTGAATAATTGTATGCCATGAATCATGACTTGATTGTATGATTATGAGAATGTACATTGTGATTGTGATTGTGGCTTGTTAAATGGATCGGGTGTCACGTTCCGACACACTAACTAGGATCAGACATATATATTGGATCGGGTGTCACGTTTTGACACACTAACTTGGATCGGGTGCCACGTTTCGGTGCATATATGGGATCGAGTGTCACGTCCGGCACACTAATTGGGATCGGGTATCACGTTCCGGTACACTAACACTTTGGGTATGGGTTCCATGAGAGGACCATTGACTTTTCATATATACTTGTATTGAGAATGTGGGATTGTACATTGATCCTAAAAAGATAACTGATATATATATATATATATATATTCTATATATGCATTGTTTTACTTTGTTGTGACTGCTTATATATATTTCGCTTACTGGAATAGCCACGTGATCCTACCAATATATTGTGGTTGTGTACTGATACTGCACTTGCTTGTTCTTTGTTGAGTATCAGACGTCTATTAATAGACCTCAGTTAGGTGACTATTGAGCGTGACCGAATTCAAGGGTGAGCTAGTTCTTTCAGGCTGCCATAGATCTCTCTTGTTTAAGTCCACTCTTTTCAGACTCATACTATTTGTTTAGGGTGTTTGTTTAGTTTCGGGGTTGCGCCCCCTTTTCTTAGAAATGTTGCACTTTAGATGTTTTGGTACAATGACTTTCAGGTTCTAG